TTCAAGTTTTAGTGGGAGGAAGAAGGAAGTAGATGAGAGCCAGAGAGGTGTTGGAGGAAGTCACCCTTGTGAGCTTTGAGGGTGGAGTAAAGGAGTTGGGAGGCTGGAAGAGGTGAGAACATGGATTCTACCCTAAGGAAATGAAGCTTGACAATACTTTAACACAGAGAAACCAATATATCCCATGACATTTAAGGGAAAGCGGAACATTGAGGACCTTAGCTTTGCCATCTTTTCCTCTAGCAAACAAGCTTAAGCAATAGAAATGTGTCCAACTCTGTCAGAGGTCACTTAAACTGTGAAGCTAGAGAGACATGCAAACTACTTTGTTTATAGATCCCTTTCCTTTCCATGGGGGGCAGAAGTCTGTTACACAGTGACTTCTCCACAATGGGGGGTGTGTGTGTGTGTGTGTGTGTGTGTGTGTGTGTGTGTGTGTATGTCTGTGTGTGTGTGTCTAAGGGCAGTGACTGGGACTATTACTATGGCATATTACAACAGGCTAACAATCAGGCTTAACTTTACTTAAGGTTTAATGGCAAACAGTGCCAGGGAAGTAGCATATAATTTGGCAAAGTTTGACACAAAGAAAGGAGGAAAGAAAACTCCTGTCAAACTCCACTACCATAACAGAAAATAAATAAATACCATTTGTTGAATACAATGCTATGGACCAGCCACAGTAAGCTTAACACACCAAAACCCCCTAATCTTCAAAACCACATTAATACCATCTCAGAGGTAAGCAAACCAAAGTTCAGAAGAGTACATCTCTGGTTACACAGCTTGGGATGCAAAACCAGCGTTTTCTGACTCTGGTGTCCATGGCTTTTGTCTGCACATTGTCCCATGTTTAGTATAACAACAGAATATGGGAGATTGTTTGGGGAAAGAGAAAGCAGAGAACGCCATCAGGGTAGCAACCTTCTTGCAAGCCAAGGATGAAAGTTATTTAAAGCCACTTACCCATTGGCTCAACATTCTTTGAATGCTTGTTCTAAGCTGGGAATTATGCTTATGCAACTGAGAACCATTAAAATGTCAAATGAAATCAGATAGCATGGCCTGGAGAACAGAGTGGAGAACAGTAAAATTCTAGGACATGCTTTCACTGTGCGAGGACACGCCAACTAAACAAGTCCAGTGTCGCTGGATCAACCACCCTGCCAGTGGCCAAGATTGACCATAGCAGAGTAATCCAGCAGGTGGGATGACAATGTGGCATCTCCGGTCAAAGTGTCCCGTGTAAGGAGGACCACTGCACCTCAACAAGCAATAGGCTCTGGAAAGGGGATCCCAAATAAAGAACGAGTGCTCCTGAAAATGACAGGGGTGGTCAGACCCTATCTAGCCACTTACTGAAGTAGCTAACACAGGCAGGGATGCAGAAATAAGGGATGGCCATTGAACAAGCCCAGAGCTAAGGCTTTTTTGGCAGTACTGAAGACATCCTCTCAACTTCTGACCCTAAGGTACCTTTACTGTGAGGGAGACACTTTAAATTACCATATAGATGACAACTGGGGTTCAGAACCCCTCACCTGCAAATACAGCACTGTCATACCAGGTATTCTAAACAACAGAAGCAAAGGATCACTCTCACCTCACCCCTGCCCTTCTCTCCAGAAGCATGGTCATAAAAGACATTGTCTTGTCTCTCGTGCCTAAAAGTGGATCATAGACTACCATTCCAGAGGGATCCTGGTCAACACTTGGAGGCCACAAGGGATCTGAATTAGGCCTTGTTAAGTTCTCATTGCTAATAGATATAACCTACTTTGTGTTCAATCTCCCTTCTACACAACTGCTCTTCAAATGCAAGCATAAAAAATACAATTTTCTCTGGGTCTGTGGGTATTTGTAAGGGCTCCCAGGCCATCTAAAAGTTTAGTAATTTGTTAGGCTCCCCACTTAGTATTTGTTATAGGGATATGAATCATGAATTTGGCAGGAGGTGAAGAATAGTATTTTCTTCCCTATAGGGTCTTCCTTTTCTTATACACATGCCAAAGAGACAGAAAGAAATCAAAGGGCATATTTCAGTTTAGCATGCCTCCAAGTGCATTCCTTGGCACAGGTATCCTGGTTTGTCAAAAAGCCTCCATTTACTTGCCTTGCCTTAGGATGATTGTAAATCCAAACTTTATTCTAAAACTGTCCCAGTTTGGACAATAATGTGTCAATTGAACATAAATATCTACTTCTGAAAGTGTCCACTGATGTCTATTTAACCACTACCATTCCAAAGTGAGTTGTAAATATAGTTGTAAATGAGTTAAGAATATAGTTAAAAATTAGTTTGATCAAGGAAGTTTCCCTTAAAATCAAAACATCCATCAATAACCTATGCATCTACCGTTGCTTTGTGTACTTTTGGAAATGCTGTACTGTGGTCAAACAAGTTCTGTTCGAGAATGTAACTCCCAGAGATTTAATGGGCCAGCAAGCCATGAGTTTCCAAGAAGTTTAAATATCGGGCAGTCTTCCCAAACTAACTAAATGTAAAATTTCTTCACAAAATGTTTCGACATTTCTATGTGATATAGACTGGTACACAGACTGTCTTAAAGTTATTCCAGGCCCTGGAAAGCCAGTAGTGAGTGGGCATAGTCCTGGTCCTCGGGGGGCTTCCAGTAAACAAATAAATTTGGAAAATAATTTTTTTCACTCGAGTATATAAAAGTCAAAATAAAATACAAAATAACTAGGAATTCTGAGGGACATTCAGGAAGTGACCCAATCAGGATAATTCATGATTGTCAAAACTATTGCTGGACGTTTAAGGAGCCCAGGAGGGTAATTCCCCTTAAGAACCCTCCTGCCTTAGACTGAGGTTTCCCTTGGCATCTGCAGGAGGGTAACTCCTTTTGGCTCTTTGAGGACCACATATGTACCTTTAGTATAATATTATACTGTTCTATCTAAATCAAGGTTATTCAAAACTGTTACCACTTTCAAGACATGCCTGTCACCCAGGGGATACAGTAGAATAAATGGAGAAGTTAAGTTCCATGCCACACATGCCACCCCTAGGGCTGTGACAGGGCAGGGAGGTGCTTCAGCATCCTCTCACCCACATACTCCCATCCTTTGATAGACTACAGAGCTTCGCTCTAATGAATACACCGCGTTCAAACGTTCAAACTTTCTCTCCTCAAACAAAGCAGAAGGAAAGCGTCTTTAGATTACAGGGACTGCAGATGCCATGGGCTGCGCCGGTCTTAAAGCTTCTCTCGACTGCTCAGAAACTAAGCCATCTTGCCGTGTTTAGCACTTTTCCCCAGACCACCCACCCAGACGCAGATACACAAACCACATGAGTCAGGAATGCGGGGCTCTGCTTGGAAATCAGTATCAGCATTTCAACCTTATTACTCGCAGAGACAGCCCTGTTGGTGTGTCTCATTTGTTTTATCTTTTCAATAGCTTTGATTATTTCCCTTTAATGACCTGGATTTATCCTTTCCTACGCTTTGAAATGTACAGAACTTTGTGGTGGGGGCTGCATGCTGTGTAGAAGCCATGGTTACCAGGGAAAATGAGCAAGTGGCTTTGCCTGCACTCCATGGCTCTCACTGGTCCTAGCCACCTATTCTGTGCAGCCTGCCTAGGGTCCCAATAATCACCCCATTATTATACAAGTGGAATCAAAAAGCCCTTCCATTCAGGGTGTGGTGTAGAACAGCCACAGGGTTCACTTAGAATCATGGGAGCAATTTTGGTTTTTGCCATTATTTCTCTGGCTAGCTCTTGGTAACCCTTCTTTAATTAAAAGAAAATTAAGAGCAAGAGAACTAAGCTAAGAGGCAAGGGCAATTTTACCACCTTTGGGAAAGACTGGAAATGCCTCTCAAGAAGGGGACTGCATACACAGGAAGGTGTGGATACTGTTATGTGGCAGAGAAGCAGTAGCACTGAACGTGCTCAGCATTTTCTCTTTGGGTGGTACCCTGCCAAGAAAACCAATAAACTACCTTTAACTGCTTTGCTCTTCGTAAGGAAAACAAAGGACATTAGTTTTGGGTCGTGTGTCTCTGAATTACCAACTGCAGGGGACTGGGCATTGGGCCTTGGTCTTCCAATCCCCTCTGGGTATCCTTGCCTACCCAAATGGAGTACTGTTCTGAGGTCAACAGGCACACTCAGACACCCAGTAGGACTCTGGGACAGCACCAGAGCCATTCCCAGCAGCTCCCTGGTGGTCCTTCTTCACACTGCAGAAAATGCAAATGCACTACTTCAAATAGCCAAATGCCTGTGTGTGCTGGAAGGACAGAAGTCAGTGCAATTCAGGAGTGGTCAACCGAGTTTTCTCTTCCTGTTAGCCCATCTGGGACTGAGGCTTCCACACCTGTAATTGTTTCCAGTTGACGAAAGCCAAGGCAGTCCATAATAATCCTCAAAGTGGCTTGTCAGCCTGAAGAAGAGGTCAGCTTCAAAAATTTAATATGAATCTCTTTGCTTCTAAGGAGAATACCACATAGTTGTCAAACAATGCATTATAGGTTTATTTGTCCCTCCTGCCTAACCAGAGTAGCATTTTCTATGCTACTCTAAGTAAATGCTAGAATTTGTGAACTGACTTTGTCTAGCTATAGCATAGTTTAGTTTACAAAAAAAAAAGGACCTTCCAGAGGGATAGAGGAAAAAGAAAAAAAAAAAAACCCTATGGTATAAATAATTCAGTTTAATCATAAGACTGTGTCTGCCATTTCTTGATGAGTCTTCAGAGTGCTTAAACTATGTACTGGTTTCAGGACACAGGAAACAGGGCTAGGAACTGGGTACCCAAAGATGAATGAGGATGACCTCTGCACTCAGGTGGTTTGGGGTACATGGTCCATTCTCCGGGAGTCTCCAATCTCTCCATTTTTCTTTAGAAACACATCTTTTTTTAATGAGGAAAGGCTAAGGTCGTATTCACCCTTACGTGATGCTATACTGAGCAAATGAATCTGTAAGACTGTACATTATAAAAAAAATAAAAAAGGGAGTCACAATAGATTAGGTATGAATTTAAGTAAAACACCTATTTCTGTCCATCTGCACTTAACATTTCAACATGGGATTTAGAGATGGGAAATACATCTTTTGTGTGCCTTGTAGTTCACATAAAAGCATGTACACACATACACAATGTATCTTTCAACATAACTACACATACACACTCCATTAGAAAGATACTGACAGATTTGTAAAACATGTTGGCCTTGCACTGCTAATCTCAGAATACATTTTTACTTAATTTATTTTTGCACTGAAGGGTAGCACTGGCCACCATCAAAGATCTGTCAGCATTTCCATCATAACTTTGTTTTCAGAATACTGGAGTACAAGTGCCAAAATACATATTTACAGTTTACAGACAGCAGTGGCTTTGTCTTCCTTTGAAATTGACTGCATCTTTACAAGGAATATTCAGGATGGCGGTGCCTACATAATGAAAAGCATCATATGAAACAGAGGAGGTTGAAAGATGTAGACTTCCAGCCCAAGACTAACCTACACCGTGGGAATTGATTCCGCCACATTCTTTGCAGCTGTAGTCATAGTTTGAGAGCAACAGTCCAAAGCAAGATTATTCTGATAATATATGTATATATATAAATATAGGAATACATAGCATTAGTACACAAAACGCTAAAGGTGGAAAGTAATAAGCATACAGCAAATTACTCTAGAGCTGACCACTTTCACAGAGAGAAAAATGAACACAAGCCACCAAGCACAGACATTGACCAATTCAACACTGAACAACCAACTCATTACATAGGTAGAGTTAAAGCATTTAAGAGTAAAATCGCTCTTAAATAAGTGTGTAACTACATTTGTAGGGTTTGAAATGGTAAATGGGATGTTATGCAGACCTAATAATTGTTGTTGTTTTTAAGTTTAGGTTGGTATACCTGCAAAAAGTACCAGCAACAATTGCTTTTGATAAAAGAAAAATTAAAAAAAAACAAATTTATTGGCTATTTCCACAAATCAGGTAATTATTCAGATCAGAGGTTCGCTTACCAATTTTTTTTAATTTATCTAAAGCCATCTCCTGATTCATAACTTTTATGCTTTTCCTAATTTTGACACAGATATATATCTTTGTTACCTAAGAGAGGGGGCAGACTATGGTGATGATATGAAGTAACTGTATACACTTTTGCTGCTAACATGATTGGTGTATCCTAAGATAGGAGAAGCCCCCCTCATACGCACACACACCTGTTGCAAATCAAAAGTCAAAAACTAATTTATAAGTGCATGCGTGTGTGGGATCTGTACAGTTTTTTCCTCCTCAAATCACAAGAGAAAAAAAGTAATGATAGTTTATCATACTCTTGTTGGTTCGAACCATATTCACATTCACCCAATTAATTTTATTTGAAACATATATATATATATATATATATATATATATATATATATATATATATATATATACATATATATGAAATTAAACCCTGCCATTTGCCCTTTGTGCTTAAAAGACCAAAGCCACTGTTAGGGTACACATGTGTCAAAATATTCTTAACAGTGTTCCAAAGTGAGTGTACACAGATGTGGCAGAATGGAGTGGTCTGCTTCTGGAGATGCGTGGCACCTCTTTGAGATAAGTTGAATGGGACTCATTACTTCTGTTTTTTCAAATCATATACCAAGAGCAGGAGGACCATTCCAAAGAAGACTAATTCTACAGCATGACTCTTAATCTGCCAGACTTTTACAGGAAATTCATTCTGCTGTCTGGGTAACAAGTTGGGAAGAAGTTGTTCTGAATTTCGTTATCCATGTACAAACTCACATTTCATGATATTCTGAAGACATCTGCATTAGCTAATGTTCTAGCTCTAATGTCATTACAATAGCTGCCTTTCTTCTTACTCCCACCCCTTTAAATTTTATTTCTTTGGGCATCAGGTGGTGGGGTAATTTTTTTTTTTTTATCTTAGTTCCTCCGTAACTTTAGGAACAACAAAAAAAGCCAAATCATATTTCACCACATAATTTGGTTAGAAAAATAAAAGTGGCCCAAACTGCATATGTATGTTTCTAGTTAAATTATACAGATACATTAGTTAAACCACTTACTTTTCTAGTTTAATGAGAATATGTGGATTTTGCAGTTAGAAACTGGAAAAGATTTATGAATGTTGAAAACATTGTTTTTCTTGTCACCTGTGAAGTCAGAAATAAAACACAACTAAAACCACAGAGTTCATCAACCACCTACTGTCCAAAATGACGTGGTACATATCTATGCAACTGTACACCAAAAAGTGGACTACACACCAAATGCTTCAAGTACAACTCATGCCAATCATCATGAGGAATCATAACATTCTTGAAATTTTATACACTTGTCCTCTAGGAGGACACTGCAGGAAAGCGATTTACAAAGACCATGGCTGTTTTATCATTTTTTTTAAAAAAAGAAAAAAAATAGTTTCTTTGGATAGAAAGAAACAGTGTAAAAAAATCTCCTTTTTAAAATGCAGAAATCGCTCCATTATTAATCTGCATTTACATTACCGCCTGAAAGAACGGGTCTGGGAAGACCATTTTCTGTGCAGACACTAGTTAATCTCTGCATGAAAGGACAGCATCTGTCGTGGGAACAAATGTGGGGGACACTAGGCTGTTAGCACACATAGAGACTTTCTTAAGGCTGATCCAGTGGCGAACCTTTGGATCCAGAAGTAGTTCTTCATTTCTGTTCTTTTCAGCTGAGTTCTGGTAACAACATGGAAGGTTGGCTGCTCTAACTTGGGATTCCTCCACTGCAGGGAGTGTAGAATAACGACACCCAAAGTACTTTTTTTTTTCTTTTTCTTTTGAAAATAGTTTGCCTTCTTCTGCATGCCACAGGACAGACTTCTAATTTCAAAACAAAGGAACAACAAGGACAAGACTCTCCCCCATCCCGACCACCTTTACCTTCACCTATACAGGAAGTCCTTCAGGAAACATCAGCAAGAGACTAAACAGATACCAATCTACAAGTTAATACATTGTCTGTCATGGAAGAATAACCGAGAATTTCCCCCAAAGAAAGGTTTTAATTTTTCAAACATAAAAGAGCCTAAGAGAATCAGATGAGAACAAACGAAAAACAAAAGAAAACCCCAAAACTCTGATTCCTGTCTTTGTTTTGTTTTCATGAGTACCACCCTGGCAGCTGTAGACAGGTGAAATGCTCACTAATAAATAGGTCCAAATGAAGAAAGTCTGCACTGCTGTTTTAGACAGCAGGACCAGAATCCCTTTGACGACGATGACTCTGTGGAATGCCTTTACTTCCATACTCACCTAACACCGCAGCAGTAAAAGAAACACGTGAGTGTTAGTGACAGCTCAACAGTGCTGGACCGTGGACAGTACAGGTACACTTTCGTTCAAAGTCCTACAGGTTTATTGACTAAGGCTAGACAGCAATTCAAATGATCCTATTTGGTACATCTACCACGTCCAAGATCATTACATGGATACAGCCAAGGACTGGGGCCTCAACGTTTAGGAAAAAAGACCACAAGGAAGAAAATCAAGGTGGCTATTTGGTCCGCCCCCCCCACCCCCCAGGGGACAACTGTGTCCTGGAACTGGAAAAAACAAAGGTGAAAAACATAGACTGCAACAAGTTAAAGGACTTGGAGAAAGTTGGTGGAGAGTGGCACGGTATTTGAGTAAGGTCACTGGGCTTGGGACGGCAAGGGCGCTGCTGCATTGAAAGAACATCCATGGGACCAAGTACTGAGAATGTCTGGTGGTGTCATCCCCTCACAATTTTATCTGTATGTGGTAATAAATAGATCAGTTATGTAATAAGGCAGTGTGTTGAATATGCATTCGTCCTGTGGAATGAACCACCACAGAAAGGTCCATGGTACCATACACATTCCTTAAGTTTTCTTGTGTTGCGTCTGCGTGTTTTCAAGGCTAGCCAGGCTAACTCTTCCTGGGATTTCCTTGGAGAGGTGCGTCCTCTGAGGCTGGTTTGCGTAACCTCTCCTTTATCAAGAGATGATGACTGGCTTTAAAGAAAAATAAAGCTGAAGGTTGTTTGATTTTTATTTTTTTTCCCTTTTGGTTGTATCATTCTGAGTGTTTTCATATAAACAACAACAACAACAAAAAATCACAACCAAAAAAAATAGTTTTTGATGCATCCAGTTGTTGTATCCTCAGGATGTTCCAGATGTTTCCAGGTAACTCTGTAATTTACGGACTGTAGTTTTGTCCAGCGAGCAAAGATCAAAATCAAATGTTGTATTTGTAATATGAAAGTGTCCAGTTTCTTCTATAAGGTTCACGATCTGGAGATGTAAAGAAGAAAAAGTATGGGTATAAGCAACAGACATCAAAGGCAAAGAGAAGGAGCCGGAGAACTCAAACACAGAACCAAGTGAAACATTCGTATTAATCACAACAAGGGTCACAACAAGGTCCGATGGCAACACTACCACCAAACGGCCTGTTAGTCAACTCAGTAAGTCAAAGATGTAGTAAGCCTTGACAATAAAACCCTCAAAGGGCCAGATCGCCTGTTTGTACTCTGCATACTCAACAAACCAATTCAAATGACCAACAGAACATTTCATTAAGATGGCTAGAGAGAGACAGCAGTTCAAGACCTTTTTTATTTAAACAATTAGTCCCCGACTCAAAAGACTATGACTATATTTACTCAGGCAGGAGGTGGAGGAAGGTGGATCTCTGAGTTCGAGGCCAGCTTGGTCTACAAAGTGAGTTCCAGAACAGCCAGGACTACACAGAGAAACCCTGTTTCAAAAATGGGGAGAAAAAAAAAGACGCTGTGCATAGGTGGCGTGCTTGTTAAGTTAGTACGCTATCTAGGAAAGGGATGGGGACTCACTCTGGCAAGCTTCATGAGAGGGCAGATGAGGCAAGAGGATGGATTTTCATGCTGAGGCTTCACTTGGCAACTTCCCTTCTTATTTGATTCTCTTTAGTTCAATTATCTTTAAAAACTGGTTATGATTACCTAGCCTATGACTTATTCAGTGAAGTTTTAAATTATGTAACATTAAGCTGGAAAACTGAAGAACTTAGAAACCTTTTTGTTTTGTTGGAGACAGGGTTTTTCTGTGTAACCACTCTGGCTGTCCAGGAAATCACTTTGTAGACCAGGCTGGCCTTGAACTCACAGAGATCCACCTGCCTCTGCCTCCCAAGTGCTGGGATTAAAGGCGTGCGCCACCACTGCCGGGCTAAAACCTTCTTTATTTTAAAGCTAGTTTACTGAAAGCATTTGTGAGTGAATCCCTGTGGGTCATAAAATGTGCTCCTGGTCACACACACACAAACACAAATGCACACACCTCAATCCAATTAATTGTCCAATTCCAGATGGAGCTCTGAAGGCTTCTTCTGACTCCTGGAACTATTTTTGAGAGCTAAAATGCTGTCTTTAATAACTAAACAAGGCCGGGCGGTGGTGGCGCACGCCTTTAATCCCAGCACTCGGGAGGCAGAGCCAGGCGGATCTCTGTGAGTTCGAGGCCAGCCTGGACTACCAAGTGAGTTCCAGGAAAGGCACAAAGCTACACAGAGAAACCCTGTCTCGAAAAACCAAAAAAAAAAAAAAAAAAATAACTAAACAAGTCACTCTGGTTGGGGAACCATGACAGACACTGCAAACTAACATGCATTTACCTTTCTAAAAGTTACCTATTTTCTCACAATGGCACGCCCAGCAGAAACGCCTGTCTCCTTAGACCATTTGCAGCACTTGTTAGAAGTCACTGGGCTTTTAGGAAAATTCTTGAGGTCATGGGCAAGGAGAGTGTGCCTTTTCTCTTCTGCTCTTCTTATTTGTAATGAAGATGCACGTTTGGAAGTATAACAGCTATCTTTCTCTCAAAAGATGAATACATGAAAGAGGCAGAACAGAAACCGAGTCTATATGCTTAGTGTCGTCTTCTAAACTCTAACATAGAGCCTGGATTACTTGGCTCCAGGCCTGCTGCTATGTGTTTAGGATGAAGTAGGGTAGAGTGCCTTACTGTGCTGCTAGACTCAGGCTTCTTTATTGTGTATCAGAAGATTATTAGAAGGGATGAGCCTGTTTATTGTTAAAATATATCATTTATACAGAACTACACAAGAGCTTATTACCATATAGACTTAGTGGCTAATGCTGTAATTTCAGCACTCAAGGAGGCTAAGGGGTAAGTATTCTATGTTCAAGGCCAACCTGGGCTATGGGACTGAGATTCTGTCCAAAGCAACAAAACAAAACAAAAACAAAAACAAAACAATTATTTCTACATATGTACAGACAAAAAACGAACCAAACATACAAAGTCACCAATTGACACAAAAGACCTTAAATGGACACACATTTGTTTTATTAGCTAAGAATTTAGAACTCTGGAAAAGTTACCACACATATGCACACATACGGAGACTCACAGCATAGCTATTTCTATACATATAAAACTTTCATGGAAGTCAGATACTTTATATACACAAGGATGAACTGGTTGAATTAAGGCATTCTTTCCTGAGCAAGTTATCTTTTTTCTTACATTATATAGGTAAGCTATGAGTCCAGTAAAAACTTGCAGATTTTAGTAGAGACAGCAGTTCTCAACATGTTCAACATCCCCTTTGCCAAACCTCCATCTCCAAAAATATTTACATTACAATTCATAACTTTGGCAAAATTATAGTTATGAAGCAACAACAAAAATAATTTTATGGTTGGGGGTCACCACAACATGAGGAACTGTATTAAAAGTTGCAGCATTAGGAAGGTTGAGAACCACTGTTATAAGAAATTGGGTATTATGGTGTACACCTGTTAGTCTAACTCACAGGAGGTTGAGGCAGGAGGATTGCAAGTTCAAGGCTTAGCAGGGTTACATGGCAAGATTCTGTCTCAAAATAATAACTATCAGACCAAAACAGGAACAAATAGCTCCCTCGGAGCTACTGTGATTAGAGATTTATAGAACGGAGGCAAATGCCAAGCAGTCTGGAGTTTCCACACCCGAACTGACGGTGGGAAAATGCCAAAGCACTAAGAACTGAGTCCTGACTCTGGCATTACGATCTGACTGCTCACCACTTGAACATCATGTGAACATCACTGTGTTCTCATCCGGAAGTTGGGGCTGAGTCACACACTCTGCTCCATGTGCCAGGCTGTCAGAGGAACCAAGTCAGATACAATGACCACTTGCTACAGAGATCAAGGCACTATGGTTAAGATTACCATATAAACAGAAATGTGTCTTTAATTACCTGTAGGGAGAAGTAAACAGCACAAGACTGTGAGGCTTGGTACATCTCCCTACAGCCCTCAATGACTGCCAGCCATTTCACTCCACTAAAACAAACTAAGCAAGAAAGAGTGACCTAGAAGGCTTCTGTGGCAACCCCAACTCCCACCCCCACCCTCCAAAAGTAACAGCCTAGACAGGAAACCATTGAAGAGAACTTAAAAATTGTGGTGAGGACATTGAAGTGTAACTCTCTCCACAATTAACGGCTTCTGGAGGGTGCTGATGGAGAAGGACGGGCCAGCGGGAGTTTGGCCATGCTCTACTAAGTACATGGGCAACACAAATTGGACTTCATTTTTTCTTTCTTTTTTTTTTTTAGGTGGGTGGTCACAAGGGTGGGGAGGTGGACCTGGGAGGACTGCGAAGTGTGTTGGGGTGCATGATGTGAAATTCCCAAATAATCAATAAAATATTACACTGGAAAAAAATGCAGGAAGGAAAACCCAGAAAGGCCTAAGTGAATTTGTTTTTAATAACTAAGAGTTTCAGGCAGAAGGTAGGAAAACGGATAAAGCCAAGTTGTCAGAATGACTAAAAAACCACAATGCAGAGACAGAAGTAGAGCCCAGCATTTGGTTTTGTGTTACTATTGTTTTGAATGACAGGGAATGCACTCTTTCAGGAAAACAGCTCTCCATGACTCAATATAGTTACTTACACATTACTTAGCAATAAATTGAAACGTGGATGACAAGAACTGTGTAGAAGAAAGTCACTTAATTTTAAATCACCGAAACTTCTGGCCACTAGGAAACGCACTCAATATAGTAAGGGTTTCCAGTACTCACAAGCCAGCCTCCCATCTCTGCTGCCACGAGATCTGACCCTTGTTATAGCACACACAGGAGTGGATGGAGCTAACCAAAGACCCCTGCATTTTCATGGGGGTTGTGAAAATACATCAAGGCAGATGCAAACACAGACCTAAAGCAGTAGCCAAGGCAAAGGCATTTGGGAGAGTTTAGTCTTGTTCATCAACAAAAAAGGCATTAATAGTTTGAGTTAGTGGAGCATGTACTAATGTCCTCAATTAAGGAAAGGCTCTGAAAGGTACGCACTTCTTTCCAGGGCTCATGATGCCAGAGCATCAGAAACACAACATTAGCATGTGTTATTTCAACCAAATAGGCCATAAATCCTGAAAACAACCCCCCCAATCCCTGAAAGACTACACTTGGCATTCCTAAGGGAATGCCCTATCTGCTCATGCAGTGTGGTTCAACTGTGGTGTCACTATGCTGCTTCACAAAGTGGTCCCAATGGCCACGCACGACAGCAGAAGAAGCCAGAGAGGCTGCAGATGAGAAAAGCACAGGAGGACAGGGTACATCTGGGAGTGGGAAAGGAAGAGGGTGTAAACTGCTTCACTGGGGAGGGGGTGGTGTCACCATGCAGCTGCCAGTTGTCTTGTGTTAACAGGGTAAGATCCACCTGCTACTTCAGTGGTTCCCTCTTCAAATTTATTTTTTATTTTTTGGGGTTTTTTTTTGTGTGACAGGGTTTCTCTGTGTAGCTTTGCACCTTTCCTAGAACTCACTCTGTAGTCCAGGCTGGCCTGGAACTCACAGAGATCCTCCTGGCTCTGCCTTCCGAGTGCTGGGATTAAAGGCGTGCGCCACCACCGCCTGGCCAAATCTATTTTTAATTATAAAAAGGTAGAGACATTATTTTTAGTCTAATTGTCTCATTATCTTTGTTCAAATACCAGGACAGGTTACTCCCCATCCACAGTGGCCACTCACTGAGTGGGAAGTCATGAACAACCTTTGCTTTGACTTTATCTATCCAGAATGGAGTTGGCCTGTTGTAACTCAGGTCTTTCATCTGTACATTGTGGAAACCATACTGCCACATGAAAACGTGAGCCCCACCTGAGCTCACAGGTGAGGACACCTGGCTCTAGTGTACAAGGAATTTTAGGACATGACAGGTAATTTCCCAGATTGAAGTAGTCATTTTAGCAGACTACTTCTCAGGAAAGATTCTTTGTGGTGCTAAGAATACTCCAGTATGCTACCCATCCCTGCAACTTTGACGACGTCTACAAGAAAACTAGATACCTATCTACGCTGACAAACTGTCCTTTAAGGAAGTCTTGGTTTCCCTAACTTTCTTTCTTCCTCCTCCCTTCCCCTTTCTTTATATGTATACATACATGTGTGTGTGTGTGTGTGTGTGTGTGTGTGTGTGTGTGTGTGTGTGTGTGTGTGTGTTCACTTTTTCTCCTTCAATAACAGAATGCAATCCCAGGCTAAATTGATGATGAGGCCAGAGATGTCCAACCTCATTTTGAAAGTAAATACGGAATGTAGAGTTTAACAAGGAAACAAATTATTGACCAAGGCTAGATGCTCACGCCCTTGCTTTGACTGTGCCTACTGAATTTTTAACCAATGGAAAGGGGCCATAGGAATATAGTCTTTCCTGATCTAATGCTTTCTTTTCATGAAATTAGATATTGAGAGCCAGGACAGCAGGCCCCCAGAGTAAAATAATGCTACTAGCCAGCTTTGGTGGGACAAATCAAATTGTCAGAATACAGTTTTGGAATAAGGATACATTAAAGGAAGAACCCAAGGATGCTATTCTGGCCTCAGCAGAAGTTTTGGTTCAGATGTGCAGTTCTGCACAGTAGAGGTTACACAGACTTCGTGGCATGCATTTCACCAGATGAGCAGTCCTCAAGGTAGAGAATAACATCAGCCCTCCACTGTGCTACGTTTTACAATATGAATTAATTAAGCAGTAAACCATGACAGGGCATATATCACAGTATCAGAATCACAAGCCTCAGTTGCATTACAAGGCAAATGGCCAAAGACAGAGCTTTCAACTGGCCTGGGAATGCAATCAGGGGGAAATGCTGTGTGCCCTGGAGTGCCTTTATGTCAGGTTAAAAATTCATAGATATTACTCTTTCCCTCTAGAATACTAAAGTAATCCACTTGTATGCCATTCTCAAGTAAGCCATCTACACTCACAGTTCTTTCAAAGGTCAAAATAAAGAACATTAGACAGAGGATGCCAATGATACTCCCAGGTGAGACTTGCCCAACCGCCAAGCTTGCAACCGGGGCCCAGTTTGGGCCTCAGTAGCTTTTTTTCTGACAACTGTTCTTTAGTAACTTAGAGTTACTGCTTGGGAGCAGATAGGCAGACCAGCTACCGGATTTACCATCAGCATTTAGTCAATGAGCAACTTTCTGTTCTATAAAAGAAAGCTGAAGAAAGTATAGTTGGTTTTCTGTATCCCCAGGTTCTTTGTCCTCAGATAAAACTCACTATGGACTGAAAATTCTTGGGGGGGGGGGAGAGACGTGTCTTTACTGAACTTGTCATTATTCCCCATACAATATAGGATAACAATGATGTGCGTGGCATCTGCATTGTATTAGGTTTAAGAAGTAACCCAGAAATGATGAGAATAATGGGAGAGATACATAGATACTATGCAAACAGGGCACCACCTGAGGGAGTTGAGGGCTCTGGTGATGGGTGAGAAGGATGAGATGATTACTAGTAAAGCGCTAACCATGCCTTAGTTAAAGACACTCAGATCCAGCTCCTCCACCTACGCTCATTTAAAAAGAAATGAAAAGCCTAGAACTTATCTAAAATGGAGAATCACAGGTCTACAGACAAAGTCGATTATTTCAAATCCTAGAAATAAAAGTTTATTAGACCAAGAGAAGTTGGCAAATTTGAGAGAATTTGTAGACTGAAGCAGAGATATACACAGAATATAAAGGCAACCATCAACCATCAATGTTTAAAAAAACAGTTCATATATTACAAAGTAGATTAAGTACTAATTTCAAGTCATTTTATAGTAGTAAAAAAATTGTAAGTGAAGCAATGCACAAATCTACTATGGAATCTGGAACACATAGCCTCCCAAGGGTTAGAGAAAAATTGCCTTATCAACAGCCACTGTTAATGGAATAAAGGCATGGACTGTACTTGTACAAGAACTAAAAACCACCCCTCTTATCTTTTCAAAACATCACATTGTGTTAATAGAAGTTTCCTCATGCTATGAGCATTCCAGAGTTGAGTTCATGATAATACAACGTATGCTGTACAAGATAAGGGAAATAAAAAAAAATATTTATTTTTCCGCAGAATAGAACTGGCAAAAGGTTGCTAGATTGAATGACAAATGTTTACAACACTGGACTTAAATTCTTATCACTGTTTTCCCATGAATCCAGAAGCCTGGTTCCCAAAGTTTCTGCCTTCTCCTGACCCTGCTCTTAGCCCACATATGCTATGAGCTGGAAGGAAGGAGCACGTGTGTCTGGTTTTAGTTTCATGAGTGCTCCAAAGGGCACCCTCAAATATGTAAGTCCTCCCCAAATACCTCTGCAGGCACAATTCCAGTTCTGTTGGTATGAGGTTGCGGTGGCTTCCGTGGGCTACCACACAACCCCAGGACAAACAAGGCCTTGAGGTTGGGGAAAAGGTTGTGCTAAAAAGCATTTCTCACCTGCTGCAGAATGTGTCTTTCCCTCAGTGTCATTAGCCTTCTGTGGAGTTCTACCAACTCATCTAGGTATGCCTGAAAGAGAAGGGTGGTCCCCAAAGAACAACACTTTAAAAGGCAGTTGTGAGAGTAAGAACATACACGTAGGGATGGTTTGGCAGTTAAGATCATGTACTGCTCTTGCAGAGGACCCAAGTTCAGTTCCCAGCACCCATGTCAGGCAGTTCACAGTTGCCTGTAACTCGAGCTCCAGGAGATCCAACACCTGACCTCCATAGGCACATACACACACACACACACACACACACACACACACACACACACACACACACACACACACACATTTTAAAATAAGTCTTAAAAAACAGAACATTCGTGTTGAGCTTAGGGTCTTCATCCCACCATGCTACACTAAGCTACATGGGACTCCGTGGTCATAGGCTTCTGCAGGTGAAGTTCCTTGCTCTGATTTTGACCTTTATCAAACCTGCCTCAAAATGTGGGAAGGCTATTCGCTTTTACATTCAAGTGAGTAGACTCAGTTTCCCACAACAAGGGCTCTGCAAGGAATCCTGGAAATCCAATGATGCATCATCAGTTTAAACTAATGATAGCAGAGGCTGTTTACATTTTTAATTCCTCAATCTCAAAAATGTTTAGATGAGGACAAAACACGTAAGCTTGAACATGGAAATATCAAAACACATTATGTTAGGAAAAAAATTCTTAATAAGAAGGATTAAAAAGTTCTCAGGTATTCCAAATGTTATATAAATGATCCCAGTAAATGACTAAAGAACAGAATATTCTATGAAATGCAGAAATCACTATGCAAATTAGTTCTATGTTCGAACAACTCTCCTTGCAAGGGCAGCTGAACCTCTCCTTCATATGTTCAGACTCATGAGTCCTCGTTAGCTGACTGCGTGGGGGCCTCAGGGCCAAGTTCAGTGAAGGCAAAAGGGGAAGATTACTGACATGTTAAACCCCACCCACAACAGGTGAGCAACATCTCTCTAAGTCTTACAGTTGGCATTTATATACATCATACACACAGAGAAAGCTTACTGCACAGGGCTCAGGCACCCTGTTTACTCATATATGGGATTTATTCTGCCTCGGCTACAATCTTCACATATCCCAATGTGGTAAGCCTGAAGTTCCTTGGTAAGGTGGGAATCATGACAAGTGGTAACAGAAGGTCATGCATAATACTGAAGAGAAGAGCAAGACAGGGGAAGGGACTACAAAACCCAGGGATGAAGTATCCACGCGGGAGTCTTGGTTACTTCTGGTGAAGACGGGACTCCAGAGAGCTAGCAAGAATGATGGAGGGGAGCACGAAGACACAGAGACATGCAGGCTGTAGCACTCCCAGGAATGGACTGGAAACCTACCTTGTCACATTCACCATTCTTTATTTGCTTATCTGATTTGCTTTGTTTGATTGGACTTTTCACTTCAAGAATCTAGGGATCAAAGAAAACACTAGTAAGTTTCATTTCAAGCACCTTCTAGCTAGCTACCCACAAAAAACAAAAGCATTCAAAATGCACAGTAACAGTGTTTCCCAAACAGCATTTCTCTATACATTTTTCATCCTTTCTAATCTTGTCCCCCCACCACCTCCACCCCCCAGAAAATAAATTACTTATATATTAAATGCTGAGTCAGAGCAGCAGAGCTTAGGGAAAACGGTGATGATAAGGAAACTGATCTAAGCTTCCCAGGGCTCTTTTCTTTCATGACAGCACTCAGGCATGCATAGCAGCTGAGTTATTTTGAGACTGCTGTCCCGGCTGGCAGGACTTTTCCCTGCTTATTCTGCTGCTTCAGCATGAGTCCTAGTGCTTGGTGGGCTCGGAATGATAAAACAAGCCTTGTCCTCTGGAGCACCTGCCTTTCAGATGCTAGCCGCTTACTCTACTAAGCGGATGCAAGTTTGGGAGTGAAGGTGGCCGTCCATCAGTTAGTCTGGGATCCTTTGACGGCACAAACAGTTGTATTTGAAGAAATGATGTGATTGTGTGTGACACAATGGCCAGTGCCTTTGCCTTCATCTGGACCAACTGGAATTCCACACACTGTTCTGAAGCTTGGGTGGGAGCTATGCTCATAATTAACAAAGAGAATACTACTATTTAATAGATACCACTGATTTATTATACAGGATCTTCAAAACTGGAGGTTCTGGGAGAAATATTTTTAAATCGCCCTAGCTTGAACAGGCTGGGGATAACTACATTTATTAATGAAGAGTGCTTACAAATATGCATACACATAAAAGCAGAGCAATTTATATTTCTCTCATCATAACCTCAATCCTATCATCAGAAACTAATATCAAAGGGGAAAATGCTAAGGATGTTTGTTCTTTTAAAGTCCCTTATCCCGCCTATTCTTCCCTGTACTGTTTCCTGTCCTAATTCAGAGTTTTGTTTCCTATCTACTACACAGTATATAAACGATCTTAAGAATGTGTTCACTTTTAATTTGTGGTGACAAAAGCATGGGACTGGATGTCTTGCCTTATCAGTTAACATCTTAGGGCCTACAAAAATAAATGGAAGAGACAATATGATAATGTCTGTATTCCCATTCGGCTATAAAATTTTATACTACTAATAAATAAGTATCCTGTTTGGCAATAATAAGATCATGGTATACAGGCATGAATACTCCTCAATAAAGTATTTCTCTCTGAGTTGAAAATATGCATAAATAGCGCGCATTCTAACAATCTTTCCCGAGATTCACATTTACGCCTTCATTTTTAACATTAAAATAAGCAAATGACTGATATGGCCAGGCTAACTTAAAATACTATCCTTTAGGCAACAGACAGAAATTACGGAATAGCACAGGCAAGGCAATCATTTTTAACATGCTCAAAAATCTCCCCTGCATTTGGAATTTCCTTCTCTTTATTGTTGCTAGAAAGGAGCCCTCGAGGGGAAACCGCGTAGAGACCTGGAATAAGTAGGTCGGTAGAGGGCACTCCCGGCCAGCTCAGCACCGGGCTGGGCCACACAGAGACAATCAGCAGTGATTGGAGGCAGGAAGGAGAGAGAAAGCAGCCCTGCCGTTTGCCTGGTGCTTCAGAGAACTGAATTTGTTCCCATCACATCTGCCCCTCCCACGGCCCCATCCCCCACGCCTTGCTCTCCAAGTGTCTGAAGATGCTATATTTGCAAAGGAACTTTACAAGCTAGGTTTAGGTAGTCCTGCAACCTCTCTTCAAAGCAGAAAACAGGGAGAACATTTGGGTGCTTAAGTCCAACTCCACACATTCCGAAAGTGTGACAGCACGGAAGCCCCAAATGCATGGAAACAAACCCTAGTTTCTTTCTCCTGGGGCCCTGGTAGCAGGAACAAAAGCTCCGGGTGTCAGTGACCCGCCTCAAGTTACGGAGTGGCTGCCCAGAGAGGCCTCAGCTAATCTTCCTTCTTTGATCTCTCCCTGCTCCAAAATAAACAGCTTTGTCAAAACCTCATTCTGAGAGAACTGAGCCATGCTGAAGACAATTGTTTTACTTATGATCACTTCTTATCTTCAGGGACTGACTCCAGAATATAAAAAGTACAACACCTTGTCTTCCACAGGCTTATTTCAAACCAGTTTAACTGGATAGATTCTTTTGAATTTCACCCATGCCTGGCAGGTGATTTATGATATTCTGAATATTAGCTGGATTCAGTGATTACTTCCTCCCTTCCCCATACTACGTGCTTGGCTAAAAAGATGGGGGTTGTTTGTTTGTGCTTTATACAAGGTGTGTTTGTGGGGGGGGGGGAGCTATCTTTGGTTAAGTGATAATTAAACTTTTTATTATTTACCAATACACTAAGTAGAGGGAAAAAGCCACCCAATGCACTGAATTAAAACACCAGCAGACATGGTAATCACTGAATACAGAGGAAGTAGTACTTCATCCTTACTCTGAGGATCTGGCTTGGGAATCAACGTTTCAAGATTCTATTTTTCTGGATTCTTTTGTGAGAAACGTCAAGTCAATCATGGAGCAGATGGACTGTCTATTGGCAGGCTTTCTATGTTAGCCACTATTAACTCCCAATAACGCTTCCATTCACTTCTTTGCTTTGTTGACATGTGGCTCTAGGTTCTTTCTTCCTTTAGTAGATAGAAAATTAACTACTCAATTAGCACTTTATCCCTTCCTTAGACCCTGGAGGTTTGAGATGAGGCAGCAGACAGTTTTGCTGTGTCGGATACCCAGAGTTGCAAGATCCTTATCAAGTATGGAAAGAGGGCAGATTGATGGCTTGGAACTAGAGTGTTCCATAAGGGTTCTTATGGTGAAGGCTTGGTTCCTACTACAGAATGTTCAGAGGTGGGGATCTGAGTGACTAGATCATAAGGGCTCTGTCTTCATCAACAGATGGCTCTACTGACATGCTAGTAAGTTGATAGAAATTTGGAAGATGAATCTGGCTGAAAACAGTGGGTCCCTGGAGGTCATATCTTATTTCTATGCCCTTTTCTCTTTCTCTCATGCTGTTTTTTGTTTACATGAGGTTTGCTCATCAAATTAATCCAACCATGATGCTCTACCTCATCATAGGTTAAGAACAATGGAGCCAGGTGACCACAGGCTAAAACTTCTGAGACACTGAGCCAAAACACAACTTTTTACCTTAAAATTGTTTTTCTTGGGTATTTTGTCACAGCAATATAAAGCTAACTAATACACTTGTCGATGGGTATGGAGGGTAAAACTCGGGGATTTTAAAATCAAGCCTTTCCTGTTTTCACCACCCTTTTTATTTGATGTGAAGTTTCATATGCCCCTGTACCACCCCATGCTTGTATACATGAGCTCTCTAGTGCATCTTCCCTTATACAGTCAGCTAGAATACTAAAAACATTCCAGGATGAAATTTAAGAGACATTTGGGGTTTTAAGAAAATTTTGGTGTCTCATCACACAACAGAAATACTAATGATACTTTTTAATGTCTTTGAACACTAACTTAAAGGGATCCTATCACACTTGACCCACATCAGGTAACTGGGGTTAAGAAATCACTACTGATTTTCAAAATCCCTTTCTTGCTCTTAGCTTCAAGACACAGGCATGAGGAGGAGGTAAGTGCTCCTGTTGCACACAATGCCCTACTCCAGACTAGTTAACACGGAAAGCATATGGATTTTGTTCTTACGCTCATAGGTGTACTGAGAAAGGGACACACAACTGAGTAGTATTGGTGAAATGATGCTATGCATGTGAGAAGCTACACGTATCAAATGAACATTCCAAGAAAATCGTAGTATACTATATTTAATCAGATAAAGTGTATTTTACCCTCCCAGATAGATGATATTATTTGTTTGTGGTCTGGTTTGCTAGACGGGTAACAATTTTGGTAAAGAATCTACACTTTTCCCAAGAACCAAAGTCAGTTCACTAGTGCCCATTCAGGAAGGGCAAGACAGGTGCTTGATGGAGCCACGTTTACATGGCAAGTCATCTGATCACAGTGCCTGGAAGAGATGCTGAAGACAGCTGGAGAGAGCATAAAGGCATGCCCATCTAAACCTAGACATTCCTACTGCAAGAATCATAATTCTGATATACTATTCCCTGGACATAGAAAAAAGGCCTACATAGGGTTAGATTCAACATAAGATGTCAAGGTCCTAATTCTATTCTTTTGCCAGCTTTTACTAAAGCACACGTTCATAAAATAGTTGAAGTATCTAGTATCTAGCTAGTTCTCAGTTGACTGGTCACGATGTTTTCCCCTGGAACTCTTGGCCTGTGGCAGAAGGCAGCTATGCTGGGATGCAGGACGGCCAGACAAACAGCATGGCTGGTTGTTGAGATGGGGGAAGCTAAGTCAGCAAAGCCAGGCTAAGAATGAGGAAGCTGGACCCCACTCCCATGTAGGACAGAAACTACAGCTAAGTAGCAACAGTGCAGGTGCTGCTCCTACCAACAATGAAGGATTTAGGTTGCAGACAAACTTATAAATGATGAATTTTAAAATCTAAGTGAGCACTGCCTCTTTATACAGAACACAAGAAAGAAAATATCCTCACAGCAGTAATACAACATTTTCCAACTAAAACAAAGATCACTAATTCAGGGGCAAGATATTTTAAATAGCAGAACATTTATGAAATGGAATAATTTTAGAAAATGCAACCCTTTAATTTTCATGTTAATATTCATATGGCAACTTGAATTAAGCAATTATTGCAGAGGTCATAGGAAATCTGCCTCCACAAAAAGATAAGAATAACTTACTGTAATGAGTATCAACTCAATGCATAATGGGACTTTTACAATATTCATGATGCTTGAAAACAGTTTATTTTAGTAAGTAATGAAAATATCCCAATCTCGCTCATTTATTTAATACAAGCTCTTCATCACAGCTTTCAGAATTCTGTTTAGACCTTATCTGAATAGCTATATTCTGAGTTGACTATCAAATTAATAAGCTTTCTTTTAGCTCAACTTGTAGCATGATAATAATGACTGTTTTGTTAATTGTTCTTTGCACTCCCAAGTAACAGTTCTTCTCTCTTGAATGAGAAACTGAGGCTGAGCAGCTACAATAAACATGTACATACACTGAGTGCCAAGCAGATGCTGCCCACTGCCTTTACACACACCGTTGTCCTTCTATTAAGCTGCAGGGTGCTAACATTATTTAATGAAGAAACTGCGGCATATCAAAGTGTATCCCCCACCAGTCAAACTAGGCTAGTCCCATAAGTCATGTTCTTTCTAATTAAGTCATCTATTTATGCTAAGGGATAAAATACAGAGAAGTTGAGAATGTGGGCAACGTTTTGTATCACCCTTCGTTCCTGCATCTAGTTAACTCATCCACCCAATGAAGCACACTCATCTTATGAACAGAGAAGTGCTCTCTCCCCATGGGCTCTTTTTAATGCTGGGTAAGGTTGAGAATTCCCATTTGTTTGAAGTAAAGAGGACCTTTGTTGAAAATTAAGAGGTAAAACAGTTATATGCTGGATTAAAAATGATTATGGATAGTCCTATAGAATCTTGCTGAGTACAAAGCCCACAATCTACCTGGTTGTTGTTAGTTTTCAATAATGGCGGCGGGGGTTCATGATGGAGGGGTGAAGAGGCGGAGCTGCTTTCACTGTCGCTGCCGTCACTCAAGCTGACCCTGAGAAGAAACACCAAACAGTCACATGCCCCACCACCGACAGAGTCAAGTATCATGAAAAGCAAGGAAGGCAAACATCGCCACTGAAAGGCTGCTTTGAACACACAACCGCTGGCATCTGTTGGTACTTGCTCCTATCTGGAAGCCCTCAGGTGAGTCCACTGCTGGTGTGCTTCCAATGATCCCAGTCTTGGCAACTGACTAAACCGTGACTTAGAAATATGTGTCCCCCCCGCAGCTCTGGTTACAGATGTAAAATGGAGGCTCAAGGATTCATAGCCCAGTAATGTGACACAAGCCACCACCTGAGCTACTGTGGGGAGACTAGCATTCTAGAAACACTATTCATCATTTCTACTGTGTCACAATTCAGTGATGTCTCCACTACAAAACATGAGTACAATAATGTGCTACAAACACATCCTGGACACAAACTGTTTCAAATATCACTGTTTAAAAAAAAAAAAAAAATCTCTCAACATCTAGAGACAACAAAAAACACCACTCTCTCATTTATTTTTTTCTACTGAGAATAAAATGGAGCTTTTTCCTAGCTAGAGAGGAGACGGTGCTTTCTTCCGCTCATTCGAATGTATGCCCTCATTCAGGAGGGCGTTTCAGTGTCTGCTCCCTCTCTGGTTATACAGTAACCTGATATAATATTCTTCTCAGAGATAGCAAATGCTATAGAAATCAGCACAGTTTTTCTTTCGCTCTGAATAGGCAATCACATCCTCCTCGCTCTATTATACATTCAGACAGACGCGATACAAGATAGGAGACAAAAAGGATACATTGGGACAGCCTTTTAGCAAAAACTGATGGAACTTGTTTTTCTTAACTAAATTACATTAATGAAGTGTTCTGTTGAAGCGCTGCTTTCAAATGCTTCTCGACTGAAGTGGAGGGCTGAGTATTTAAACTGATTAAACAGTTGAGACGGCACAAGTGCTCTGGAGATCAAATGTTAGATGGAGTCGTCCCACTAACAGTGTGTGTCAGGTGGCGGAGCGAGGATGTGTCCCTAGTAATGTCCGCTCACATCAGGCAACTCACAAACAAGTAACGTGCGATCGAAGCCACACCGACTCTGGGCTGGACTGGGCCACCAGATCTCCCACACAGCAACTTAGAAAATTACATGAAAGGGGGATGAGTTCCTGTGTGTGTGTGTGTGGGTGGTGGTGGTGGTGGTGGTGGTGGTGGTGGTGGTGGTGGTGGTGGTGGTGGTGGTGGTGGTGGCTGTTGTTGTGCTGGTGGTGGTTTTTCAATACACTAAATTGGAGAGCAGCCAGTGGTTGGGATTTTGACTAGTCAAAGTCAGTTCCTAAACACCACGGTTCACCTCATTTTTAGGTCCTTTTGATCTACCAGTTTCCTTCTTGTCAGATCAAAGAAGACACTACAAGGCCAAGTCTGTGAGGGTCCTGTGAAGGGACTGTATGCAGACGCACTGTGGAGGCTAGTCTGTGAGGGTCCTGTAGAAGGACTGTATGCAGACACACTGTGGAGGCTAGTCTGTGAGGGTCCTGTGAAGGACTGTATGCAGATTCACTGCAGAGGCTAGTCTGTGAGGGTCCTGTAGAAGGACTGTATGCAGACGCACTGTGGAGGCTAGTCTGTGAGGGTCCTGAAAAAGGATTGTATGCAGATGTACTGTGGCGGCTAGGCGCAGAAGTATGTCAGAAGTCTATCTTTGTAAGGCAGAGCCATTGATAGGGTTTCCATTCTGTGGAGGGGCAGCTTGTCTCCAACAAAACCAGTGAATCACCAATTAGGAAACATACAGTCTGCTCCCCCTGGATTCCCCTTGTCTTAGGTATTTCAGGGCCATCTACACAGTAATGGATAATGGGCAAAGATTTATTGCAATATATTATAAATGTAATTGGATTTGAAGTTCAAGTAGATTCATATTTTCTACTCATAACACATTAAAGTGTGCATGCCTATTTGTTTTTCTCATGATAAACAAAATCCTCAAGGCAATTTCAAGTTGACTATTAATTATAAGTGACATGAATTACCATCTTCTAATGTAGAATTATGCCTCACAGCATTAAAGCTACTTAAGGAACCTAATTGTCAGCACACTTAAAAGGAATTTATTTGCTGGAAAACACACACAGGTGAACTTAGTTTTAATTAGGTCACAACATAATTCACTGGAGCCAATTATGTAGTTCTAACTATAAGCAGCAAATGCTGTTTCTCCACACGTGGAGCCCCCACCCCAAAGCAACAGGTCTAGAGCAACTCTTCAGATGAATTTGCTACATGTCATATACTTTCAGATAGCACGGACTTCTGACATGGCTTCTTCCTATAGAGGCTTTGGAGGAAACCTCTTCTAAGGAAAAAGGAAAAAATGGTTTCTTATAAAAGTGAACACAAACGTACCAGTTTCAGGGGAATGCAGCCATTGGCTGTGCCCTCCCTCCCTCCTATTTGAGATGGAGTCTCATGTTACCCAGACTGGCCCCAATCTTGATAGAGAGCTGAGGAGGACTTTGAACTTCTCATCCTCCTGCCTCTCCCTCCTAAATACAGGGATTATAGGCAATGTGCTGAGGACCAAACCCAGGGCTCTGACAATGCTGGGCAGACATGCTACTGACTTAGGGACAGCCCAGTCACAGTTGCTGCCAGGGTTCAGGTGTTTGTGGTTTACCTAGGGAACCAGTGTGGCTCCTCTGCAGGGAATCTCACCTGCGGCTTCGGCTTCCTCCTCTATTTACAGGTCTTTCCATCTCAGAGTCATTGTCATTATCCTCTGCCTCGTCAGACTCTTCCTCGTTGTCATCAGAGTGCAGATCTTTCATGATAGACCTCAAAGGACCTGAGTGGTGACAGGAACCACAGGCAATCAAACAACACTTCAAACCCACTTGACCATATTAGACACTGGGGACTGCTTGCAGTTCTGACCTCTGGCTAAGAACAATCATTATCCTGTACGGTCAAGACTCCACAACCAAATCCAGGACACCTTCTGGATTATAATCTCTACTTACACATGACTGTTTTCATCAGAGTCCCCAGAATGTTTATTAGGAATCCTAAATTGGGGCTGGAGATGTAGCTCTAGCTACATCTGCTAGAGCTGCTCTGCTTGGGAGGACCCAAGTTTGATTTCCAGCATCCAAATGGTAGCTTATTACTCTGTAACTCCAGTTCCAGGAAATCTGACATCCTCTTTGGACCTCCTCGGGCATCAGGCATGCACAAGGTTCACAGATATATGGGTAAGCAAAACACCCATACACATAAAATATAAAAAGAAAAAATTAAAGAATCTCCATTTCACAGGATTTTTTCTGCATAATTTTATTCTTCCCACCCCAAGTCACAAAAAAAAAAAAAAAACAAACCACAGATCTATTAGTAAACAGGATGTTTTGTTAAGTTGATCCATGTACTGAAACACTGAGATTAATAAATCACTGTGGTTGTAGCTGGTTCTTGGCAATGCAGCCTTTGTGTGGTAGTTTCTGATCTATTAAGATTTAGCTGCTCCTTTATTTCAAGGTCAATTTCAGGTCAAGCAAGCATTTTAGTCAAGTTCAGGTTATAAAGTGTTTCAACACCATGGTGTAATGTCCTATCTCTGATCTTCTTATTGATCTTGGACAGCAGATCTGGTTGCAAGAACTTTATGTGGCCAATTTTCACCTTACTTTTAAAGAAATTCCTGGCAAAATATCAGCATGTATTAGCATAACTAAGACTATGTAATAAATCATGTGCTCAGAAAATCCAGACAATATCTAGTATTAGATGGGGGTTGGAGGAACTGTAACTAATTTTATTTAGGACCAGACAAAACTGAAAACACATACACACTGATTAGTGTTGCTTTCCCTCTGTTTTACTATTCAAATTGTGATGGAAAAAAATAGTCATTCTTTAATTTTAACAGAAAATTGTAAAGGCATCTAAGGAAGGTGCATTTTCATTCTGGCCTGGGCAATCCCCAAAGTCTAATAGGACTATCTGAGCTGTCACTAAGCAGTCCCTTCTAAAACATGCGCCGACTCCCTGCAATCTCACATTCTGCAAACTCAGATTTCTCTGCTTTTGTAGTGGGCTTACTTCTTTGAAAGCTAATGAAACAAGATTTCTGAATAGCCAAAACTATCACTGCCTTTTATTATATATTTTCTTGGAAGCTTAGCCTTAGTCCAAATACACACAACAATTTAATCCTCTTTCAAAGCATGCAAGGCCACTTGGAATTCAGTGTAGTCAATGAGAACGGCGATGTTCACTATGATACTAGAAAACAAGTTACTCTCTGACATTCTTCAATTGTGTAAAAATAAAGCAGAGCCCACTTCTGGAGACTTTACACACACATTAAAAATATGCTTCATTATACATTCTGGTTTAATTTATCTGGAGTTTTGGTTAGCATGTGACTATGAATAGAGAAATATATATTTAAAAACAGCAAAATGCACTTTTGCTTAAAAACTCTACTAAAATACAAAAAATAAAATAAGTAAAATGAGAAGTGTTCAAGGATGAAGAATGGGGAGCCCATGTCAGTGCCTCTGAGGTGGGTTTACTGGAGTATTTCCTCTGGGAACTCCCTGGAATGGGTTGTGTCTATAATCCATTTGTGAGATGGGAATCTGACGGCAGGGACTGGAAAAGGGGGGACTTTCTAGAATCAGGCCTCATATATGAGAATGATACTCAAGTGCATTCCTGGGGGAAATAAACACAACTGCATAAAAGCCAAGTTACCATTCAAATAATAAAACAGTAGAAGATAGGTCATAAATCAACTCATTAGGCTGTTTTATGGGGAAAAGATTTCATTAGCCAGGGAGCTGTTGATACCTTGTTGCCTGGTCTGGGATGGTGTGAAGCTGGAGCTGGAGCTGGAGCTGGAGCTGGCAGGGCTGGGTTGCTCTGACTTTAGAGAAGAAGAGAAAAGCATCGTCATTACATTTATGGGATATTACACACTAAAATGAAAATGACCTCTGTGCTCAAAGCAGCCTCTACAGAACGTCTGATGCTGTGCAAGGAAAATGACCACACATATCACTTTGTTAAAAAGCTAACACAGGAGAGTTGTAATGTCATTTTTTTCTTTGACAGTCTTGTTTTTATCAGAAGACGCATATAAAATGTCAAGGATGAGAAGATAATTGCCTGGATGCTACATGACTTCACCCCTTGCTCACTGCCATGCAGAGCTCCTCCTAAGGGACACATACCTTCACTGTCCTTTCCATGAAGTTTGATTGACTCAACTGGTTCAGATGTAGTAGTCATGAGGCCCCAAGGTCATTAGTTCAATAACATTATGAGCCAGTTAATTTTATTCTGGTCTAAGGCCACGAACCAACTAACCCCACTCACCATGAGTTCACAAATGGAGGCCAATATTCATAACATCCAGTCAAGTCCCACAAACAAGTCAAGGGAAAAATGTTGCCACTATTTTAAGAAGAAAAATGCCCTTTAATTTCACAGCTTGTGAATTAGCAGAACAGCCTCACACATTTTTGCCTCCTCTGACTCTCCATGATCTTTTCTCATCCTCTAGTATCCAGAAGAAGTTCTACATCCAACTCTTGGACACAACCAAATTCAGTTTTCTTCCTTCTCAAACCACTAACACCATTGAGAAGCAGGTCATATGCTTATTCCTAACATGCTGCGCCACTGAGACAGTTCCTGTGCTGTGTTCTCCCCAGACAAAGTGTAGACACAGCACTTTGAAAGCCCTGTGCTTCATGTTACTTCTTCCATACTTAGCAGAATGCACTGCATACTGCAGACCATCCTTATCTGTGACTTAAAGCAGCATTACAGTCCATCTGCTCCACTGTCTAACGGTTTTCACAACAGAGTTTATACGGCTTGAAGAAGGGTCAACATCAGATGCATGAAGAGAAATGTGCAAGACATGGACGACACCAACAACATACTTGAGTTTTGCATCTTAAAACAAAGCTCATGCTTTAAGTAACTTAATAAAGCTGATGTGTTTAGTTATAAGAATGGACTGTCTTTACCCATTTCTAATTTCCTCCTATTTTCAAATACATAGCCATGTTATTTCCAAAATATGAGGTGTTCCCATGTACAGGACACATGCTCTTTTTTTCCTTTGCTAAATGCATAATCCAGCTGGAATACAACTACAAGCACAATCAGAAGACACAAAATGAAACGACCATCTCAGTTCAGTGTGTACAACAGTTTCTCACCATTGAATTCTTTTCATTCCCCCCTCCCAGCAAAGGAGCGCCCGCCCCCCCCCCCCCTTCCTAAAGCAGCACTAAGCTCCATAGAATGGGACATGAGGAAGCACTTTTGGGCATTCCTGATGCACACTTCACATTCTCAGGGTGGATGGGAAAACAGGTGTCAGCAATCTAACTCATTCTGCAGGAAAAAAAAGGCAGACACAACTTCTAATGAGAAGCAGGCGCTCACCCACTCTTCACCACTGCAGGATTTGCTTGGGAATTGTACAGTGTCTTATACATCACGCTTTGCAAGCTACAACACAGAGTTGGTTTACAGGTGCAAGTGCCTCTGTGAGATACTCTTCACTTCTGTTAGGTGGTTCTTCCGTGGTTGAGCCCTAATGGCAAGTTTCACAATTGAAAGGACATTCAGTACAATGCCCATCTGTAAAAACAGCTCTCTCAAGGCCCAAGGAGCACGCCATCTCCTTTCCAAATTGTTCTTTCCAGCCATGAAAAAATGCCTGCAAATGGTATTATTTTAATAGCCCTGGAAACCATTTGGGAACCAAAAAAGAAGTTTCCTTACCATGCTTCCTGACCAGCATACAGTGCACAGGACTTAAAGAATCATGCTGCCAGAACTATTTGCTGAGAATGACATTAACTAAGGTAACTTGGTAGGGCTGAGTGTCATGTTAGGGTGCATGCCTTTAATCTCAGCATTTACGAGGCAGAAGCAAGTCAATTTCTATTGAGTTTGAGGCCAGCCTAGTCTCCATAGTGAGTTTCAGGCCAACCACAGTTACATAGTCAGATGCTGTCTCAAAAACCAACCAACCAACCAACCAAGGGTAACAAGGGAAGACAATGGCCATCTCCCAACTATATACCACACATCTTGATCCTTCTATTTCAAGCATTATGCAGATGCCCAAACCAAACCTTTCAGCATCTTACCCACAGACATAGTTAACATTTCCACAACTGCTAATTATCTGAAAAGACAAATAGTAAAGAACATAATGTGTATGCATGTGTGCATGCGTGCCTGTGTAACTCCAGCTCTAGAGGATCCAGTGTCTCTGGCCTTTGCAGGCACCTGTACTCATGTGCTGTACCCAGATACAGACAGATACAAACATATACATAATGGGAAAAAAATCTTTAAAAAAAAATCTCTGAAGAAGAAGAGTGAGCCAGCCACAATGGCAGGGCTTACTATCACACCATTTGGAAGGGAAAGACAAGAGATCCCTAGGACTCCCTGGCCAGTCAGTCCAGCCTATTTGGCAAGTTCCATGCCAATAAGAGACTGTCTCAAAAACCAAGGGGTGCTAGCTGAGAGAAGACAGACAAAGTTGTCCTCTTGCCTCCATACACTTGTACAATAGAATGGATGGCCATGTGCATGCATGATCATATACACACATAAACAAAAAGTAAATGCATTATGAGAAAACCAGAAGTGTTAATCTACCCATATGGATCCTCTCTATATTTTCATCAGTGGATTTTTCAAGAACACACTGTGACAGAATCTGGTTGTTACTCAATAAAAAACATTATGGAGTTCATTCATGTGGTAGTAGATGGAGCCTGTTCTAGTTTTTTTTTTGTGTGTGTGTGTGGGGGGGACTGGTATGATACAACACTGGCCAAAAGCAACTTGGGAAGGAAAGAGTCTGTTTTATCTTATCATCTTACACTTCCAAGTGACAATCCATCATTGAGGGAGGCCAAGGCAGGCATTCAGAGGCCAGAACTGAAGCAGAGACACTGGTGGAACACTGTTTACTGGCTCCATCACTTCCAGGCTCATGTTCTTATCCAGCTATCTTTCTTGTCCAACTCAGGACTGCTCACTCAGGGATGGCATGGCTCACAGTGGGCTGGACATTCTCACATCAATCAAGAAAATGTCCCACAGACATAGCCATAGGCCAATCTGATGGAGACAAGCCCTCAATCCAGGTTCTTTCTTGAAAAAAAGATCTTGAACACAGACCAGTCCAGAGTTCAGTCAGATGTGAACTACCCCAAAGTTCTTTTGCCACCATAAGAGGAAGAGACAGTCTTTTATATCACCAAGTTTACTTTGTATTTTAAGAAAATCACATTTTCCAGCCCCTCCAAAACCCTACAAGTCAAAGGTAACTTTATTTAAAAAAAAACAAAAACAAAAACAAAAAACAACAACAAAAAAACAACCTTAAACTGGGCAGGTGAAAAGCTTTATGGGCCCTCAAGATACAACAGCCTCCTTTCTCTCTCCTAAGAAATATTTAAATCTCTCTGCTCACCCATGTACACATGAATCTGGGAGTGATATACCAAAAACTAAGAACAAGGAAGCTAATGATGCTCTTATCCTTTCCCTTGTGGGCTAATGTGATGCTTATTTCCAATTTCAAAATTCTCCCCACTGGGAAAAAAAATTGTTGATGTCCTGCATTATTGAACACTCTTATAGTGGTAACTCGTCAACATTTGGTTGCCATTACACAAGTATTTACATGCAAGAGGCTATAAACTTCACCACTGCCGAAAACAAGACCTGTATCTATCGTTGGTGAAACAATGGCCTATCATGATTGGTGCTACATTCTTCACCACTGAATGAGTATGCAAAATCATCCTGGAACAGATTCTCTATGGAGGATTACTTTTGTCCAGGACACATAAGAAAACCCGCACGTTTAAAACTCCTAGAAGTTAAGTGTGATCACATGAGAGGCCTGCGCAAGCAGACTTCCTCCTAGAAAACACACATTACTAGCCTTGTCCTATCAGACAATGACATTTATGAACAGAATTTTAGCTTTGATCTTTACAGCAATCAGAATTTAGAAAAGGGAAGTGAGGAACATGTATCTACTTTCAGAGAAAAGAGACAAAAATACAGTAAAACTAATTAAATATTTTTAAATAACAAAGAGAAAATAAAAACTAAACAGGAATTACTTTAGATGCATTTCAGTGCTTTATACAAAGCTTTTACTACATGTATAAAAAGAAAATTCATATCCTCCTATAGAAATGATTTCTTTGCTGCACAAATACCCAGAAAGATCATGTTGAAGATGAATGTTAAACAAAGAAGAGTGTGTATTTCATTTCACTGTCCTTACTTCCCTTCATGACAACTGACTGAAGACTCAGTTCTTACCAGTTTCATCCTTCCATTAAAAATGAATCATCCTATATATTATGTACCTTTAGGCTTAATATAAAAGAAAGAGATTAACTCATTTAGTTTCTCCTCTATAAGAAGTTGAAAATTACCTATTCATTTTTCAAATATACATTTAATTTTAAAGAGTAGCATCATCACAGCCATGCTAAACAGCCATAGAAGTGTTCTCCATTGTCTGAGTGAAATGTATCTTATGGTTACGCTACTAGATGATGCTTTCAGATAGCTATGTCAGCAAATGGCTAAGGCCGAAATGAAATGTTAAGAAGATTAACACAAGGGTGAATTGTGGAAAGGGCTACAAATGACAATTTTTAATAAAATGCTTTCAGAAAGATCAAAACCTATATATTGCAGGGATATATATGAAAATAAAATTGGGCCAACGCTGGTTACCCCTTAACACACCTTTGTGCAGTTTCACACATTATTTGTTTCATTTGCTTTATAGGAGGAAGGGCGGGTGCTGCACACTAAACTGTGTCCTTTCTCATGATCTACTGAAGCCCTCACCCT